AGCAAATACAGGATGTACCGCTTTGCAGAGCTGCATCTGTTCATTGGATGTGTAATTTTAATCAAATTAGAGTGGACTTAGCTTGTCTTCCACGTACAGAAGGTCTGATAGCCTGTCAAAATGGGGAAAGCAGACTCTAGCATTAGATTCCTTCTGGAGTTCTTAAAGTCCTGTGGCAGCTCTTGCTCTCAGTGGACCACATCCTTTTGAACAATGTGCATGAGGAGATAGCCCTGCATGTATGTATTTATATGCATGTAAATAGTTTGCCAAGTTTCAAAGGTTTTAAGGAGGGTATAATAAGAGCTTTCTCTCTGGAGGCTTCTGAGGTTGACSCTTGGAGGTTGTACCTCCGAGCGGGACACTTAGCCCTTGCGCTCGCCCTCAGCCCAAACCTGTTGCTGCTCGAGTGTCCTTCTCATCTATGCCAACACTTGGTGGCATCGGTGTAGTCCCCTCTAAGCCCTTCCTTGCTGAAATCCCCTTGGAGAAGGTGACAGGAAAAGCTTGTCTAGTGACAGTATAGGTTGGGAGGGGCCACACAGTATCACTAAAACAATCCATGGCGTGTAATGAATTTGCAAAATGTAAGATATATATTAGTTATCATAACATTTGTTTKCAGTTAAGGATATTCTGTTAGGCTGCTTCTGAAGTGCAAAGTAATTTTATTTCTAAAGGTAAGACCAAAATCTATTCCTTGAAACTTTGTTTTGGGTGTAAATCTCTTTCTTTTGGGTGTAAATGTCTGCAGGTTTGGCTGGAAACACGTCTGCAGGTTTGGCAGAGCACGTTTGTACAGATACGTGCAGGCTTTAAATGATCGAAGCCCCAGGGAATTATTTTTTAAGTGATYACAGCATAACCTACTGTGTTATTTTCCCATTGTAGTGGCTTTCCCTTAGCGTGCTGTGTGATAAGCATGAAATTTCAAGAGTGAAATATTGTCCCTTCATTATAGCAGTTAAAGAAAACAAATATATTTTAAGTTTGCTTATGAGCAAGAGTGGTTTTTTTTTTTTTTTTTTTTTAAATATGAGTATTTGAGGCTTTAGAAATTGTAGCCTTTGTGGTATAAATGCTTTCAAGGTAGACCCAGTATCTAGGGTATATTTCCTTTGTTTTTATAACTTTTGGTTCTCTTCTAAATTGCCTTCCCCACATTTTTAATCTAAACATGGAGTTAAAGGATACATGTGAAATGTGGCCTCAAATGAAATGTTTTTCTCAGTATCTAAAACCCTRTGCCAGCATTTTTTTCTCGTTACCTTTCAGACAGGGGTAATGCCAATATGCTGTGCTACTCTAGTTGCACTGTTTAGATTAAAAATGCCATTATAGAAAATTTAATTAAAGCTCCTGACCTTTCCTTAAGTGCTCCCCTTTAGAAATTAGAGTTTTTGTCATGGAGCTTATTGCAACCTTGTTGCAGTTACGGTCATTCCCTCCCTTTTGAAGACTGAGGAATGGCATTCTTCTCCCAGTAAACATATATATGTATATATATATGTGTGTGTGTGTATAGGTGTGTATGTGTGTATATTWGTTTGCATATATGCATAAATCTTTCACGGGTTGCTTACAGCTCAAAAAGAAACATGGTGCTAGTAAATACTACATGGTTTTTGCTAATATATACTGTGCAGCCCATCCATCCATTGTGAGATAAGCTTGCTGGRCTAGATACACTTTCAAATACTGTATGATATGTTTAAAAACAAAACAAAAACCTAAAACCAAACTGTGAAGTATTTTAACACATGCTAAGCCAGTACATTTGTAAGAAATATTTATCCTGGATGCAGTAAGGAGAGGAAGAGGTAACACATGCATGTGTAGGTCTGCGTATATGTGCATGTTACTTGTGCAATATTTAGGCATATGTGCTTATTTAGGTGTGCACTTAGCATTTTCCTCTTGCCCGGTACATTTAGAATTGCTGCTAAGCATGTGTCCTGAGTCTGTTAAAAAAGGAAAAATGATGAGAAAATCTGTACTTCCTCGGCCAGCTATAGCAACAGCTATTTCTGTGCAGTTCTCATCCTCTCACCCATAAAATCAGCATAAAATTGGCCTAACATTGCCAGATCAGATGGGGTATCTGGAAAGTAATCCTCGGGGAAAAGAAAAATCAGTCTTTGTAAATCTGAAGATAAAGTGCATAAAGTTGCAAAATCGGATTATACTTTCTCTTTTTTTTTTCCCCTAAATCAGGACCCTTTTGTTTCTTCTTGTGAGCCCTTGTGAGAAGTTGCCACAAAGATGTGTCAGATGCTGCCTGAGTCTAGCTCCAAAAGCAGAAACAAACATAATCGTCCATAAAAAACCCAGACACGCAGATAATTTTCATAAAATCCCAAGACTTTTTTTTTTAAGGTATTGGGGTTTGGTTTTAGAGAGGAATAGAACAAAAATAGGAATTACTTCTGAGGCATAAGTCATATCCAGTTTCCTTGCTTAATAAATCTGTTGCAAGGACTGACTGAAATAACCAGTTAAAAGCCAGTAACAACAAATGCAAAACTTGTCTCAAAGCATTTGGAGAAGTTTTGAAGGTGTGAAATTATTACTTTATTTGTAACACTATTTTTATTAAAAAAATGATTTAGGAATATTAACCTTGARTTGGTTGTGGTTTTGAGGAATATTTTGAGGAAAGAATATTTAGAGAATTACTCTTGCTGTTTTAGCTTACCCAAATTTAATTCTCCTCTCGTGATTTATTATGCCTTTTTTGTCTGAAGTTCAAAGAAAAACACAGRGAAAGAAAAATCTATGTTGTGATACTTCAGTAAACTGGCGCTTACTTGGCAGTTGTTGGTTTTATTATTTTAAGTGTGGGAATTTAAAGCAATATCAGAGAGGCCTTCTGTGAAAAGTTGGTGAAATAAGAGGGACACTGGGTTGCGGTCCCAGGATTTATATTGGAATAGGAGCGGGCAGCAGGCCTTGCTGAGCCCTTGTTGARGTGACGGGGCCAGGGGACACCCGCTGCGCTGGCCTAGGAGCAGCTCTGGGCGGTAGAACCAGGACGCAGAAATCCGGAACAAGGAAGGGGTGATGGAAGTAACTAGCGACCAGCCTGGGTTTGTAAGTGCTGTGTGAAATAGTCCCGCTTTGTCCCCTCCAGAACCTCCCGTCCCCGCTTTATCTTCTGTGTTCTGACCAACATCTTTGGCTAGTTGACACTAACCTGAGAACGTGCAAAAGAGGAGTTAGAAGTTGGTTAGTTCTCTGATCTGCTGCTCTCTATAACCACAGAAAGGTCTGTCCTGGCACAGGGGAGGGCAGCAGGACCCAGGAGCTGGTGGTGGGATTGCCTATTTGCCGAGAACTTTGTGCTCGGGCTGCTTTGGACATAGGGCTTCAACGCTGCTCCCTTAAGAGGCCCCTTGAATAATTTCCAGTGATTTTGAGCAAGTGATTTATAATTATTTGACCTTCAGATACTGATACCCATTACTGTGCATGCTGCTCAATGAATTTATCACTGAGGTCACAGTTTGCCTGCAGTAACTTTYCTCATGATAGTAACTGGAATGTGAATAAGAAATCCTTTACAGAATAGTTCTCCAAACTCCTGCTGTGTCTGGCCATCCTACGGACAGGCCTATGATTTGGGTAGGCAGAAAACATCCACGAGGGTGGAAATTCTGTTTTAAATGGTGACTCTTTTTAGCACCACTGTTGAACATACCTGCATACCAGGTGCTGCTCACACCACGTATAAGAGTCTGCAGTCAGTGCCTGGGAGTGACAGCATCACTAGTGATGACGTTTCCCCCTCCTCTAGAGCATCATTTTTGCAACCTCTCTAGTTTGCCAGGAGTGAAACCSCCTAGTTCTGGGGTGGAATAGAGCAGTACGAGCGAAGCTTCTGAGGCGCTGGGGAGCGCTGACCTCGGGACTGATGGCAGAAATGGAAAGCTGAGCAAGGCTCGGAGGCCCTGACTCCTCAGCAGGCAGGAATCCCAGTGACATCCGAGGCTCCGAGACACTGGGAACGTTGTCAGGCCCTTCCGTGGGCTCCTGCTTGCAGGTCGCTCCTGGCTTTGGTCCCTCTGGCAGCCAAACCTGCAGCRCGCCGTGCAGGACCTGGAGCCCTGCCTAGCTGCCCAGAACCTGAGTGCAAGCAGCAGAACTTGGGCTGAGGTCCAGGTTTTGACATCGACTTGTTTTTTTGCCTTTAGTAAGACAGGGAATCTTGTCTTTGGCATATGAAAAATGGCAACAGTCATCTATGACCTAGTSATGTTGTGAAGCTTGGTGAATATTTGTAATACGGTTTAATATTGGATGTTGGGGATGATAGCACAGGAGATGAAAAGCTCCCAGGCATGGAGAGTGTCATTCTATTTGGGGGCCTGTTATGCTGCAGAATGTACTTCTAGATGTATTCCAAATGCTGTTAATTGTGAGCAAATGTATTGCATAATTCTCATTGTAATATAAGCAGCCCTCATTGAGAATTAACAGTTGAGAACAGGTAATGAAAACTTGAAGATATAATTGAAGTACTGTTTTTAAATACTTTGAAAAACAAAGCTACTCAAGTAGATCAGTACTTTCTAAGATTTTCATTAAAATCTTTTTTAATGCAAGCTTTTTTTTTTTAAGGTTTTTTTTTAAGGTTACATCTTTCCTTAGTGGAAGGAAATTTCTTATCACATTATTAATTAAATGAATATATGAAGATGGAATATCCACCTAAAAATGAGGTAGTTGAAGACTAAAAGGAAAGGAGAAGTTAAATATGGAAGTGGTTCAGTACATAATAACCTCCTACTGCATGTAAAACAATAAACATAGTTTCATGAATATGAAATGGGTCTTTTTAATAATCCAGTATCTTCYTTAGTTTTTGGATACATTTTTCGACTTGCCTCAAAGCTTGAAGCTAAGCTGAAGCTAAGCTGACCCTCTCTTTAATATTAATGTACTCTGACTGTAATACTCTGTTCCTTTGCCTCTGATTAATGCTGTCTGTCAATTATTTACAGATCCAGTGGTACTGTGGAAGTTCCCGGAGGACTTTGGAGACCAGGTTGGAAACATGAGATTGAACTTTTTTTTTTATGTTAGAATAATAATAAAAAGCTCTCCTATTCAGCTGTAGAAAGGCAGATGCTAATGATATCAGCAAGGAAGTCTTCACCCAACTGGTGGGATGATAATTAGAATGCATTTGTGACAGGAATACGCAATATAGTTTGGAAGCACTATGTATAATTCTGCCTCTCTGTACCACCTTATTTTTAATAAAGGGTATTTTATTAGATGGCTCTGAAAGTGCTGGGGCTTTGTCTCTTAAGTTTCAATAAATGCTGAATTTATCAAGAAATCCTTGCAATTAATCTTAGGAAGATAAATATTAATGTRAAAAATTGTAACAACAAAAAAAGACAAGCTGAACAGCTCCAGGTGGTTCGATATATTCTTTTAATGTTTCAACCTTTGAGTTCTATTCCTTAATCCTTCCAATTCTATACTTTTATATTATTCTAGTGATGCTCTAGCTGTTTTTCTTGAGGAGAAAAAAAAAATCAGGCTCTTTTGTAAGAGACAGTGATTGGAACTTACTGATTGTGAAAGCATCGAAACCCTAGATTTTATYAATAATTAATCCTCAATGGTAAGTTTATGCATTCTGCACTGAAGAATTAYTTCACTGTTTGCAACAATGGCAAAGCTATTAATTAGATGTTTTGTTGAAGTTATTAATATTAGAAATAAAATAATTCCATTTAATTATTTTATCAATTTTGATTTTTTTCTGTGGAAATTCACTTTTTTAAAGAAAAATGCATAAAAAGCKTAATAGAAGAAAAAAAGACAGGCATTTATTCTATTTTGATTGTTRTTCTCATTACATTTCTCATTACATTTGAACAGTAGATCCTGATAATTTTTTTAATCAATAATACAAGAATCTGTAAAGACAACTGGAAGGTGGTTCATGATGAAAGGAATAAATATACAAACATAGAAGGTAGGATGTCTGGTTGGGGAGTTTCATCCGTCAGAAGCATGTGCCACTTTTGAGATACTGATAAATGGTATATGATAAACGGTATATGAGCAAAGTGCGCTCTTATGTGTTCCTAGCAAGACATCTAGCAAGTTTTGATAATTTTCTGCAGTGCCGAATGAACTTCATTATGATTTAAATTCTCTTTTTTTGGAGGTTTGTTTTGTTCTTTTCCTTTTCCCTAAGAAAGACTTGATCTAAAAAGAAAAAAAAAAAAAAAGAGAGAGAAATTATGTATGAAGAAAAATAGGAGCTTATTCAGAAAGTCGAAGGTTATTCAGTGAACAGCTGGTGTAGAAATATGATTAGAAGATGAAGCCCACTGAAGACTGGAGGGGAATTGTATAAAGATGCAGTAGACGGAGCTAATCTATAAAAACAAGGGTACCTCGGGCAGCCTGTCTGCCTTTGGGCTCTGCAAAAGCAGTTCTTGCATCTGTCCCAATAGTGTGGGGATCTGCTATTTCAGGTAAACTGCTTGCAAAGGGTTGTAGCAGTGGCTTCTGGAAAATATCACATATTAACCCTCTTTTTTTAAGGAAATTCTATGGTTATAATCACTGAATCTAAACATATATATATATATATATATATATATAAAACTACTGTATCAAGGTCTAGAACCATATCAGTGAAATGGGCACGAATAATCAGTGTGTGTGTTTGTGCTGAACTCAGTGAACTCAGTAGGTTTGTCTTGCAGATGTGAATTGCATCAAATTTACTCATTTACTTTTTTAGTGGGACTTGCTGAAAAGGGGAGTTTCAGTGAAGTTTAGGACAATATTTCAAAACAAACCAAGATTTTTCTCTTTTCCTTTTTTTCTAGTCATTTCTATTTTAAATGTAAAATGTGTGAGTTAGTTTTTGGATGTATCCCAAGGAATCATCTCTCCTAAAATCTAAGGGCTGTCTGTTTGCACAGCGATGTGATAACAGTGGGCAAAATATTTTCTTTGCTTTCCGAATTTTTCTACAGTTTATCATGTCACCTTTTTGTTGCTTTCTTAATGCAAATAAAAAACAAAAACCAAAAAGCTTGTCTATGCAATTTTTGATGTATTCTTCTTCTTTCTCACATTTTTCCTGTCAGTACTTTTAAATATTTCCAGGCTTGCTTATTCCTATACAACTCTCATTCTTTGGGGCTGCCGTTTTCTTTTATGCTCTGCAGAATACAAACTTCTTTGTTTCCTGTTTCTTGGATGTTGAGAATGCAAATTCAAAACTTAGTTTTGCAAAACATTCTGTCTGCATAAGACCCTGTAGAAACTATCCATGATTGGGATCGGTGGTGGGAAAAAACGCTGTAATTTTGGTACCACCAAAGAATATGAAATATTTTTCTGTTCTGCCCTGACTGCAGGTCAGTGCCTTTCTTTATAGGYGGTAGTTCTCTAATGGCTAGAATAAGGGAGGAAAAAAGGGGAAACTCTCTTTCCTTCCTCTCCCCATCAGATATGTTAATGAAAAATAAAATATTCTAAAGAAATGAAAAATATCTCTCTCTRCTGAGAGTATTTCAGAAAGCTTTTTTTCTGATGGTGGGGATATTACATTTAGTGGTCCCCATTACCCATCAGGTGAACAGTGAAATCRTGGGGAGAAGGGCTCTAAGTGCCAAGTACCGTCGTACTGTTCCAAAGAGAGACTTAATTAACAAGAAATGCGAAGGCTAGAAGAGTTGGTTTGTTAAGATATCAGAGCATAAGTCACAGTTGCACTGGAATCACCACCGAGAAAATGGTTTTGATGATGAGAAATGTCTACAACTGCCGAAAAACTTGGAGGGATCTTGATTTGTGCGGGTTCAGCTCTTTACTTTGGGTGGTTAACCTCTCAAGTGCACATCGGGGTGAGGAGTAGCCATTTCATGGAATGGTCTTTATTTAAAACCAGTTCTTGAATGTGTATTCCTCCAAGCTCCGCTCTGCAGAGTGTCTGCAATTCCCATTGAATTCAGTGAAATTTTTATGATGCTCTTAAGCATCCCGAGACTCCCATTTTGTTTATTCAGACTGGTTAGATTGGAGTTTAAGGTTGCAAGCCCAATTTTGAAAGGAAATATATTTAAAAAGTGCTAAAATTTCTGGAGGAAATAATCCAATTGTTTTTAGAGATGTAATATCTTTTAAAAGTGTTTTAAAGAGGAAAACTCCATGCTTTTACTAACAAAAGGAAAGCTTTACATTTGTTTAAAATATATGTCTGAGCTGAATGTGCATGTTAGGACTTTATAGTGTCACTGTGTAGAGATGCAGAAATTCTGGCTGTGTTCTCATGCCACTGAAGGCCATGGCAGAAGTCCTATGAATATCAGCCATGCCAAGGTCTTCCTGGAGTGGCTCTATTCCTAGCTGTTGTTAAAATACTGGTGTTCCAAATCCCTTAATCAGGTTCCATCCTTTRTGGAAGAGTCGTAGCTGGTAGTGCTGGTAAGAACTGGTGGCTCCTTCGATGGCAGTGCTGGTATCCGCTAAAGTGGCTCTGCAGGGGTGGCTTTGGTGCCAACGTGTGGATTCCTTCTTTACCATAAGGCAGCTGAAGGCCTTTTCTATATGCMTGCATACGTAGTGCACATGGTAGTGCCATAAGTAGCACCTTGAAAAGCCTCTGTATTTACRAAGTGGTTTCAGTGTGATGTTGCATTGGACGTTCAAGCCTCAGTGTATGTTACTCGGTAAATCTTTGTGTTTTTGAAAGGTAGGACAAAGGATTAAAGGAAAACTATSTGCTAGGTTTTTTTCTGGTTGTTATATGAGGTATCATCCTTATTGCTCTCATTTGTGTTGACTTAAACTTTGAAGTATGTGAGGTCTAGTGCTTCTTACAGAAATAGTTACTACAAGAGCTCTGGATGTAGCTTTTTTAAATCTGTAGGAGGTTTTAKTCACTCATTAATGTGACTTCCCCCAGAAGGATGTTTTTGGTGGCTACTAAGGCAGGAGATGTTCTTGGGAGAAGCCACTTCAGTGGTATGAGATAGGACAAGGAATTCTTGCCTAGCCTAAATTCAATTAAGCCTAGCTTAAGTGAATGTTATATTGGACCCAAGTGCTCCGTGTCTTGCAGGATAAAACGCTCAATTCCATGGATCATGGCAGCAGATCTATAGGAAAGGCAATATGAAGGGGCTAGTACTATTTTCTTAAGATGTAGAAAACAGAAGAGTACTTACAAAAAGCTGCGTTTTCAGAAGGCTGTTGCCTGGCTGAAGCGGTGCATGGACGGCAGTTGTGCCGACGTTGTGCTCGAGGAGCCTTGCCCGGAGGTGCGGCGCTGGCCCCGCTGCTCGGGGCTGCATCGCTCCTCTCCTTGCATTTGCTGGCTTTGCTCTGCACTTCCTAGGAGGTTTAAAAACATGGTTCAAATGCCTCTATTAACTAACTAGGTTCTTGCTTTGGCTTTATTATTTTCGTTGCCATTTTTTAAGGGAGGAGAGGCGGATGGAAGTTGGAGTTCTCTCTGTGCATCAGTAAGTTTGATTAGTGTTTGAGTATGTGGGTCTGAGGAAGGAGGAATCACTCAAATAAGCTTGCTGCATTCCAGAATTATTTTTGTCTGGATATTATACTTGATTTTTTTTCCCAGTTTAAAGATATTTAAGGASTTAGTACTGTGTAACTTTTCGGTAAATAATTAACCCATATGAGATAATAATAACTTTCTKCCTTCCCAATAAGGCAGAAAGCTCAAAGGCAGAAACCAGTTCAGGTTAAGGTAGTTTCCTGTAGTTTCCTGCTTTTTCACCATGCTTTAAACACACCGTTTCTTTTGAAGAATATTGTATTTATGAACACAGAATGCTTTCTATGTATGAAAATCCTAGTGGTAGACTATGATAAAAAAGGCATTTGAAGACATATTTTTAAATACAAGTAAATTGCTGATTGCCTTGGTTCAATGAAAAATTTTTGACAAATGCTCCATGGAATAACTATACTTATAGACATGCTGAGAACACCCAGGATCATTGAAACACTAAAACATTCAAGATATTCTAAGATGTGCTCTAA